CCTGGAGCCCCCTCCCTGAGTCAACAGCCCCTTCTCCTGCATCCAAATTCCCTCCCAGAGCTTGTACTTCTTACCCCTTCCCACACCCAAATCACTCATTCCCACCCCACACCTCACTCTCACTAGGTTGAGACAGGTATAAAGGCTGGGTATAGCAAGCGATGGAGAGGAGGGGAACAGAGCGGATGAGGCCTCACAGAAGGGAGATGGGGGGGGGGTCTTGGGGAAGGAATGTGATTTTCATGCCCCTCGCCCCGCCCCCCTTTTTCTTTTCTTTTTTTTTTTTTTTGCTTGACAAACTTAGGGGTTCCTTGAAATTCTGAAAAGCTGAAAAGGGTTCCTTGGCCAAATATAATTGGGAAACACTGGATTAAGTGATTGGTATACAGACAGTAACACACCCAAGCCCAGCTTTAAGTGTCACTAGATTCCATCCTGACACAGGTAATGACAAGAGGCCAAACACCTGGCAGTACTAGAAAACAGGTAAAGGTGCAGCTAGCCTGATACCTATTCAAATGTAAAATTATTAATTTTCCTAATACTGTACTTACACTAAAACAAGTAGTCTGCTGTTACTGGATGAATATCTTATTTATTTCTGGAAACAAACTACATTTTACATATCTCTTCCACTAGCTTGTTTTACATTATGACAGGAACACTACTGACTTTGCAAAAGTGATTTATTAAGCCTCAAGAGATCTATCAAGAGACTTGAATATTGATGTGTTCACATTAACATCCTGTGTAACAGCTGAATACTAGATCTGTCATGACACAATGAGAATCGTATGTTGCAGAGCAACAAGTGACAGAAGGCTTAATTAAAGCAGAATTGACAAAGTATCAGAGGCATTTAAGACAAAATAGCTTTGTTTTATAGAAAGAAAAGCGCAAAGAAAGGACTGCTTGGTAGAGAAAACATGCATGGAGAAAGGGGAATATTAAGGTAACATATTGAAAGGCAAAACTAATGTAGAAATATGAATTTGCACTACCGGATAAAAATAATTTTAATGTATTTCTTGCTAGAAATGAACAAAGCTTTCAAAAGTACAGAAGATTGACCTGGTTTTGCTCAAGTCCTTAAATCGATTAATTTTTGTTTTTTGGAAAATAAAATGAAAATGTACATGCTTCCTTTCAGTCATTGTTCTGGGTTTTGGGTGGGATGAGGGGTTCAGTATGAAGTTTACCCCAGGGAGAGAGGGGTTACCCCAGCCCTTTCTCACTGCAGCAGCTGAAGCTTCCTGCCTCCCCCACCCCTCATTCATACAGAAACATTGCTAACTGTTCCCCTTTATCAAGGAGCGAGGGGGAAAGCACACAGTTTTCTGGAATTCTCTCTGGCTGGGGAGTGCAGGGCGCTAATGAATCTAGACCTGCCCCAGCCAGGGGACATGTGCCCCTCTCCAGCTGTGCCCACAGAAGCTGCAGTGGCCATGGAGAGATGTTTTTCACCTAGCCTCAAGCTGCTGCGGTTACAGAGAGCAGAGGTAGTACTCTCTCCCTGAGGCATCCTGCATACTGAACCCTTTATCTCCAGCCCCACCCCAGAGCAATGATTCCAATGAAGCATGGACATTTTCATTTTATTTTCCAAAAAACAAAAATTGAGTTAAGGACCTAAGCAACACTAAATATGTCTTCTAATTTATCTATATTAATGGTTTAAACGCTGACTAAATCTAGTTACTTTAAGTGCAAGTTTTCAGTGAAAATACCAAATGTAAAGTGCTCTTTAGAGTATTTAAACAGAGGGACTTTACCAAGCAGTACATCATAGACTGAAACAGCCAGATTTTAAATGCCATCACAATTAAAGTTGATTGATAATTTTAATTCTAACCGGCAGTTTTGTTTTCCTAGAACAAATGCAGTCCGCAAGCTAATGGATACTTTGTTTCCTATATAGATTCTTTCCTTGCTTTAAACCAAAATATACAGAGAAGATGCTTTGTTAGAGCTCATTTTAACAATAATTGGCCTCCTTGCACTCTCTTGTGGGGAGGCTCTTCACATTTGTCATTTTGATCCATACGGGAATTTGCAAACTTTGCTCTCTCCTGCTTCTATTGCAGGAGTTTGACTTTGTGCCATCCACCTAATTGACAGCAAGTGGGATAATCAGAAAATGTCCCCAAATGTCTTAATGCAGGTGGTGTGTTCTTCCCTGATTAATCTGTCTCGGACATCAGCCAGAGACAGAGATATGTGCCAAATAATGCATATCTTTTTCTAATATTGATGAATTGTAGAGAGACATGTGTGCATCTTTCTTTTGGCTGACCTCCAGGAAGGTGTAGTGATGTGAATTAATTTGGGAGTTAGCAGATGGGGTTGCAGCATACATATATGTTGCTACAAAAATGTGGTTCTCTGGAGTCCAAGTTTGTTGGTTAGAGGTTTCTGAAACTAGATGTAAATTGTGTGGTGCTGTTGCTCTGCCTAAACTGCATTTAGTAAGAAAATGGAAGTAGTCATTTGGGAAGTAGGCTAGCCCAAAACATTACATTTTTATAGAAGGGATTGAAGAAGAATCATCACTGAAACCATGTTTCTAATGGAGTGGGAAATACTTTAATCTCTCCTTCACATTTAGGTGATTTTTTAAAAATATGTCAGTTTTAAAGAACACAACCACAATTACATAATATAATTAATTCTTTGTGTTTTAAAACTGATCACACATCTACAGATGAGTATTTAAAATCTGAAAACAAGGAATTCTGAATTGTGGATCAAAAGATAGAGCTCATTTATGTCAAATCTCCACTTCCCAGCCATTTCTACCATGTAAAAGTTATTGGAATTTGTAAATAGATTTTAAGCTGATTTCTGCAGATAGGCCTGGATAAAATGTAGTGAATAGGGCTGTGTTCTGTCATGAAATAAAAATAAAGATATTAGATTACATTTACAAGTTAGCATCAGAAACACTGCATGATTCTTATGTAAAATAAGTATTAAAGGAGGTAAGCCTGTTTGTTTTTAATTATGTATTGTGGCTTTTACAAGTCACTTTTCTAAGAACATGTACATCATAAACTTAAAAAACAACAAATGGTCTGATAGCACTTTATAGACTAACAAAACATGTAGACGGGATCATGAGCTTTCGTGGGCACAGCCCAGTTCTTAAAATGACTGGCGTTTTGAGTTTAGGATGTGCAGACCCAAAATAAATAGGGGAGAAAGGAAAGGGGGGAAGGAAAAAAAGGGGGGGCAGGAAACAAGGAGCAGAGGGTATGAAAATGTCAAAAGGGGAAAAAAATAAGCAGAGCTGGTAATCTATAAGAATGTACACATTCTATAAGAATCTATACATTCTTGCGTTATTACCCTTTCTATCTAATTGCTATTCTATGATCCTTTTCTGCTTTTTTTAACTATCCAATCTTTAGGAACTTATAGATTACCAGTTCTGCCTTGTTTTTCCCTTTAATATTTTCATACCCTCTGCCCCTTCTTTTTTTTCCTTCCCCCCTTTCCCTTCTCCATTATTTATTTTGGGTCTGCATATCCTAAACTCAAAACTCTGGTCATCTGAACAAGTGGGCTGTGCCCACAAAAGCTCATGACACTATCTACGTGTTTTGTTAGTCTGTAAAGTGCTACCAGACCATTTATTGTTTATTAAGTTTATCCTGTATAGGCTAACTTAGCTACCCCCTGAAGCTTATGTACATCATAGTCTGTTTTATTTGCAGATGTTTATGACTAAGTACAAAAGCAAACTCATGGTTTTTTTAATATAGCAGATCACTTTCAAAGAAAAACTGGAGCTTATTTAGAGAATTTACTCCAAAATTCCAAAAAGTATAATTATATGCACACTATTCCTTGATGTATGTGATATATGACAAGAACAAATGAACAAGATTGGTGGTTTATTCACAATATAGGTAAAATCACGATAAGCAGTAACAGGTTATGTACAAGGAGTCTTGAAAAAGACGGTACAAGAAGTTTAGATATTATTACCTGCCTTTTTAATTCAGAATCACGATTTTCGTACTGTACATATTTAATATGTTCTTTTTCTGAGTGGGAGTGCTTATTCCTCTCTTGGAAAACTCAGCAGTGACATCCTACATGTTACTTTATTTAATTCTTTCTGAATTAGTAGTTGTCCTATTTGCTTTGTTAGATTAGGCCAAGAAAAAAAAATCATTGTTTTGCAAGGGCTATAACTTGAGTCTGAATCAGTTGTTTGTCCTAATTTGTGTCTGAATATTTTATATGATCAAGACAACAATGGCAGATAAAGTGAATTAACATCTGCAGGAAAAATAGGTTGAATTTGACCAAAATAGTTTGCTGATTCTTAGGCCATTGCAAGACCAAAAGGTAATTCTTTAAACTTTTGATGAGATGCTGCTATTGCCCTTTCTTCATAGTCCTGACACTAAGAAAAAACTAAACATAAAATAATTTAACCTCACTTTTCCCCACCAAAATACCAACCTATTCCCTTGCTACTTGGATCAGAAGACCACCAGAAGCAGAATACTCCCTTTCTGTGGTGGAGAAAGAAAGTATCAGTGTAACAAAACAGAAAGCTGAAACTACCTATTATAGCATAAAGTCATGTAAACACAAATAAAATCTGATGAGGTTCAACAAGGACAAGTGTAGAGTCCTGCACGTAAGACGGAAGAATCCCAAGCATTGTTACAGGCTGGGGACCAACTGGCTAAGTAGCAGTTCTGTAGAAAAGGACCTGGGGGTTACAGTGGATGAGAAGCTGGACATGAGTCAACATGCCAAGAAGGTTGCCAAGTAAAGTCATGTAAACACAAATAAAATCTGATGAGGTTCAACAAGGACAAGTGTAGAGTCCTGCACGTAAGACGGAAGAATCCCAAGCATTGTTACAGGCTGGGGACCAACTGGCTAAGTAGCAGTTCTGTAGAAAAGGACCTGGGGGTTACAGTGGATGAGAAGCTGGACATGAGTCAACATGCCAAGAAGGTTGCCAAGTAGGTTGCATTAAGAGGAGCATTGCCAGTGGATCCGAGGGTACTGAGGGAGTTGGCAGATGTCATTGAGGAGCCTTTGGCCATTATCTTTGAAAAGTCGTGGAGATCGGGAGAAATCCCGGATGATTGGAAAAAGGCAAATGTAGTGCCCATCTTCAAAAAAGGGAAGAAGGATGATCCAGGGAACTATAGGCCGGTCAGTCTTACCTTGGTTCCTGGAAAAATCATGGAACGGATCCTTAAGGAATCCATTTTGAGGCACTTGGATGAGAGGAAAGTGATTAGGAATAGTCAGCATGGATTCACAAAGGGCAAGTCGTGCCTGGCCAATCTGATTAGCTTCTATGAGGAGGTAACTGGCTCGGTGGACATGGGGAAGTCAGTGGATGTGATATACCGGATTTCCCTATTCTGAAGTTGGAAATTAACATGCCTCTTCCGGAGAAGGGGCCAATGTAGACATAGCCTAGGTGATTACAAGTGGAATTCTGTTTTCTCTTTTGGGTCTGTCTTGAAGTAATTCATGTCTGGATACTTTTCTGGCTCTGTCAATCTATTTTTTCACTTCATCAGGTGGGTATTTCAGTTTTAGGAATACTCTATATAGATCCTTTAGGTTTTGTCTCTGTGGGATTGGAGCAAATCCTGTTGTATCTTAGGGCTTGGCTGTATACAATAGATTGAGAAATGTGTCTGGGATGGAAGCTAGAGGCATGAAGGAAAGTGTAGCAGTTGGTAGGTTTCCGGTATAGGGTGGTGGAAATGTGTACATCATTAGTTCTTGATGGGCATTGTTATTGCTGTGGCGGGCTTAGCTCATCAGGGGAGTGGCTAAGTCAGCAGGGGCTCCAGTGAGTTAATGATAGTTCCCGATGCATTCTAAGTAGTGATCTTTTGGTCAAGAATCGCTGGATTCTAGAAATGTTAAGCATGTTTGTTCAGACTCTGAATTCTTAAGTATAGAAAA